TCATACTACTCATTGATATTAATTGTAATTAATTTGTTGATATTAATAAAATGTCACTAAATAACATTAATATTAAATGTTACATTTTATTAATAGTAATTTTATATTAGATTTTATTAATAAAAATGCTTTACTTTAACATTCTATTAACATTAATGTATTTATGATTTAAAATTAATGTTTATTAAATATAATTAACCCCATTTCTAATTACAGAACAAGTTAAAATGAGACATTATTTTCACCCTGCAGGTTGACAAAGATTATAGTAACATGATTGTGAAAATGTATTCATGCTCACTATATACTATTATCCTCATTTTGTAGATGACAAAGCTAGGTAATCTTCCTAACATTATAGAGCCAGGAAATTATCAAAATGCTATTCTTAAAAAAAGTTTGCTAATAATAGCATTGGTGAAAGTGAAGTAGAGAAAGTACCATCAAACGTTACTGCCGACAATGTTTCATGGAAGGGAAGATGTCGTACAGGGGACCAAAGGACCTCAAAAATGGTGCATGATTTTTCCTGCTTATGAGACTAACATCTTATTTGTTGTTGCAAAAATCAAGATTTGTACCTAAATCTTGTGCCCCTCCTGGAGACAAGTGGCATGTTTCCAAACCAGAAGAATTTCATCAAAAAGTCACATACACCAACGAAATGTGTTTCTGTGTCTACTCACATCCCCAAAAGTGCAAAAGACAAGGCTGGAGGTCACGTGACACCCCATCCCCACCCCCTCGCTTCCCTCCATTATGGCTGCACTGTCATGCCAAGGAAACAAAGCCGCAGGACATGGCAGAATATCCACATCCACTCATCCCTGCCAAAGGGATCATGCTGTCTGAGACCCAGATCAGCTAGACAACTGAAGAGTCCCTCCTGGCAATCCCACCACAATGTCTGGCACTACATTTAACAAGGAACAATGACACGGACAATCTCTGTCTCTCAGGGTCTTCTGCTTTGCACTTCATTGTAACTAAATGACAAGATATGATCTGGACCAGAGAGAGGCTATAAAACACAGTGCAAGTTTGATGACACCGTTGAAGAGTATGTGAGCAACATCCAGCTAGATTTTAAACTCATAAATTGATCTATCAAATCCATTTATGCTGAAGATATATTCATAGTTATTCACAAGACTTCTAATAGCCCAAATCAACCTAATAGAGCATCAGCAGAGTACTATTTAAATAAATTGTGATGTAACCATATAAAAAAAAAAACATATGAAGCTGATTTTAAAAAAGGGGAGGCGGGGGGCAGCACTGTGGCTCAGCAGGTTAAAGCCCTGGCCTGAAGCACCACCATCCCATATGGGTGCTGGTTCTAGTCCCAGCTGCTCCTCTTCTGATCCAGCTCTCTGCTATGGCCTGCGATAGCAGTAGAAGATGGCCCAAGTCCTGGGGCCCCTGCACCCACGTTGGAGACCCAGAGGAAGCTCCTGGCTCCTGGCTTCGGATCCGCATAGCTCCAGCCATTGCAGCCATCTGGGGAGTAAACCAGCAGATGGAAGACCTCTCTCTCTGTCTCTACCTCTCTCTGTAACTCTTTCAAATAAATAAAAATAAATCTTAAAAAAAAAAAAATCAGTGAGTCAAAATGACATTCTCTACATCTTTTTTTAAAAACACTTTATTAAATAAGCAAAAACTCAAGGACCAGTGTTGTGGTACAGCAGGTTAGTCACAACTAGTAACATCTGCATCCCATATTAGAGTGCAGGTTTAAGTCCTGGTTTCCCCATTTCCTATACAGCTTCCTGTTAGTGCACCTGGGAAGACAGCAGAGGCTATCCCAGGTATCTTCTTGGGCCCTTGGGCCCCTGCCACCTGTGTAGGACACCTGGATGGAATTCCCGGTTCTTGGCTTCAGCCTGGTCCAGTCCCAGCTGATGAAGCCATCTGGGGAGCGAACTAGTAGATGGAGAATCTTGCTCTCTGAAGTTCTGCCTTTCAAAATACCAGTAAATAAACAAATGTGTTTTAAAAAGAAAAAAGAAAGAAAAAAAGAATGGGGTAGGAAACTGCTTTGAGGGAAAAAAAGCAAAAACTCGAGGAATATAAATGTAAACTCCTATAAGGTAAAATAAAAGGAGAAAACATGTACATGTATTTATTATGTAAGAATATTTCTGGAAGGTTGGCATATTCCTTGATTTGTGTCCATTTGCCACCAACTTCAAAGCCTGCAAAGGTAGATTTGAGTTCTCGTATTTCTACTAAATTCCTCTTCTGCCTCTTCCTTCCACATTTAAGTACCTTTATGATTACACTAAGCTCACCTGGATAATCCATGATAATCTCTGTATTTTAAGGTTAGGGTATTAGCAACCTAATTCTACCTGATTTAAGTTTTTATTTCCTTTGCCATTTAATGTAACATATCCATAGTTTCCAGGGATTAGGATATAGACATCTCTGAGGGTTACTATGGTTTGAAAGTCCTTTCCAAAACTCACATCCATTTTTTTCTCTTTATTTGAAGATTTATTTATTTATTTGAAAGGCAGAGTTACACAGAGCAGCAGAGCACAGAGAGAACTTCCATTCATTCCCCAAAAGGCTGCAACCACCAGGGAGCCAGGAACTTCATCAGGGTCTCCCACTTGGTGGCAGTGGCCCAAGTACTTGGGCCATCTTCTGGTGCTTTCTCAGGTTCATTAGCAGGGAGCTGGTTCTGAAGTGGAGCAGCCAGGGCTTGAACCAGCACCCATATGGGAGGCCAGGGTCACAGGCCACAACGCCAGTCCCTCATGTCCAAATTTAATTGCCACTGTAACAATGTTGAGAGGCAGCACCCTTAGGAGGTGATTAGGTCATGAGGGTTCTGGCCTTGTGCATGAATTAGTGTCATTATTGCAGGAGTGGGTTACTTATCATGTGAGTGGGCTCCTGATAAAAGGGGAAGAAGTTCGGCTTCCATCTTCTCCCTGTCTCACTTGCCTTCCCATCTTCTCTCATGGAATGATGCAGTACAAAGGTGCTCACCAGATGTGTGGCCTGTCCAGCCTCCAGGAACATGCATCATATAAACATCCACTGTTTACAATTTACCCACTCCGTGGATAAATTTTCTGCTATAGCAACAGAGAAGTTGGACTGAGATGGGGGCTGTTATTCTGTTTACCATAAGCATGGGTATGCAGTTTAGGGGGAAAGACTTTCTTTTAAATTTTTTTTTATTTGAAGATGGGCAGTAGAAGCTATCTCCCATCTGCAGGTTCACTCTCCCAATGCCTCCAACAGCCAGGGCTGCTTCAGCCTGGAGCTGGGAAGACAGCCTGGGTCACTGGAGGAAAAAGGGCAGAATATTCCAGTAATCGCAGAATTTTATATGAAAAAAACCAATCTGTTTTCTCATCTACTAAAATCACATTCACCCTCAGTGTAGAAAAATGAATATGCAGTAATGATTCAGCCCTGCATTGCAACATGACACATTTCTAAACCCTTTCAATGAAATTAGCTAATGCCCTTGCATAGACACCGCCAGACTTCCTCGCTCATGTTCAGAGTCTTCACATCATAAAGCAGGTGCAGTCTCTGAGGGCTGCATCCTGGGGAAATCCTTGAACATCCCAGAAAGCATCCATTCATGTTAACTTTGACTTATCTCTAGATAAAACAGAAGGGAAGAGGTGGATAGTGAAGGGTGAAAAGTAAGGTTCAATGGTATGGATATAGGGTGGGGTGCCAGGGAAAAAGTATATATAATAAAATTAAGAATATCCTTCAAGACACTAGATTAATTCAGAGTTTGTTGTAGAGGCTTTTGGCGATGATTTTATTACAAGGTTTAGTTTAGTTTAAATGCAAATCTAAATGTCTATATCAAGAACTTGTCCTACCAGTGTTGGTTTTTCCCACAAGGAATTGGCACCAATCAGCACTTCATAGTGACAAATACGTCCACCATACTCACTGATAAAGAAATGAACTTCATCACCAGAGTAAGAGCCCATTATTTAGAATAAAGTTTACCTAGAAATATAGACTTATTTTGAAGCAGCTTACCCAGTTTAAATGTTTGGCCCAGAGACAGAATTTACTGCATATTGCAAATACAAAATAATAAAAACTCTTTTTCTTACACAAAAAGGACAAAGTAAATGATACTGCATTCCTCCATGTCCTTACAACTTCTGAGTTTACACAAAAATATTTTAATACGTATACCCAAGATGTTCAAATTCCCAGTGTAATCTGCTAGCAGGAATAAAATATTTTAAACAATTGCATGCCTTTTGTCTTTCAAGTCTACTTCCAGAAATTTATCCTAAAGAAAAAAACATTGTGATGGGAAATGATTTAACCACAAGAATGTTTGCCGCAACTATTTATGAGAGGGAAAAAATGAAAAAGAAGAAAAAATCCTAAATAATCACTAGTAAAACAGCTTAAAAAAACACAAAAAACAAAAAAACACATTTTGGCCTACAACAAAATACTGTGTGGCTGTTAAATTCAGTATTGTGGCAAAATACTTATGAAACATTATTAAATAAAAAAAAACAAATTTTAAAGTATCAAATACAAAATTATATCCTTTTATACAAATTACTCAGACCATATAAGGGATATTAAGAGAAATTATCATTGAGTGGGAGGATTTGGGGTACTATTAATATTCATAAAATCTCCCATTTCCCTGATCAGAGTGCTCTGTTTAAGGACAGGGCCAAATGTGTTCACTAGATTGTATACACACATATCTTTCCATTTATCTGCATGTAGGATAAATCTCTTAGTACTGTAGAGTACGTTCCAAGTACTCAATACATTTTTATTCACAATTAAACTCACATAACCGTGTACCCAACACTTATCATATATGAAACATTCTGTTAATCCATTTACCATACACTCTCTCATTAACACTTAAATCAACTTTATGGACTGGCTATTGCCCTCCACTGAAAGTTTATACAGTTGCCAAAAATTAGTAGCCCAGCTGAGGGTAGATCCAGATTCAATGTCGGGGCTGGCACCTTGGTGCAATAGATTAATCCTCTGTCTGCGGCGCTGGCAGCCCATATGGACACCAGTTCGAGTCCTGGCTGCTCCTCTTCCAGTCCAACTCTCTGCTATGCACTGGGAAAACAGCGGAAGATGGTCCAAGTGCTTGGGTCCCTGCAACGACATGGGAGACTGCGAAGAGGCACCTGGCTCCTGGCTTCGGATCGGCGCAGCTCCAGCCATTGCGGCCATTTGGGGAGTGAACCAACTGAAGGAAGACCTTTCTCTCTGTCTCTCCCTCTCACTGTCTGTAACTCTCAAATAAAATAAATAAAATCTTAAAAAAAAAAAAATTCAATGTCAATCCATCCAACTCCTAAGCTCAGAGCCTTCTTTTTCTTCTACTTCCTTTTTTCAATATTTGTATTATTTAAAATTCCCAAAATGAAGATACATTCTGATGTGTTAATGAAACAATAAATTACTTTAGACATATACTAAAAATATTAAAATGGTTATTGTATTCTAAATAATAGATCTCACTCTAATCTTGAGACATAAAAATGTCATTAAGTATCAATCAATATCCAATAGATGGGGGAATTATATTTATAAGGAGAACTAAAGCTGGCATACATAGATCAATGTAGGAACAAAGAGTGCATAAGCCTTTCTCAGCAGTAGGAACTGCCAAGCCCTACCCTTTGTGGCAGTCCCTTAGCTAGTGTACTGGGACTCTTCCAATTAGCTTATAATGGGTAAATTACAGAAAATTTTCCTTTAAATAGTTATATTATTGGATATCCTTTATCTTTTTTTAGTGTAGAGCATCTATTTTCAGATACATCTCTCAGCTATAGTAAAGAAAGCCCAGCCTTGTTCCCCACTGGTCTCCTTTCATCTACCTACAACTTTCCCACACACTAAGCACAATTATCTGAAACAAATATTTCACTGAAGATTTTTCTAACATAGCTCTTGTTCCTACATAGACCAACACTAATCTCCCCCAGAAGCCTCCTGCAGCATTTACTTCTCAAAGAATCCATTTGTCATTGAGTAGACAGCTTAAATGTTGGGAAGTGATGAGTTAAACCATGGTTCAATCATAAGATTCAAACCTATCCACAAATTCAAGATGATGCTACTTGTCTTTTGATCCCTCACTCACACATACAGAAGCACAGACCAGCAATAAAGGTTCTTGGGGAATATAAGGACAATAGAAAATATCTTTAAAGTAACACAGTATGCAGAACATATAACGGATTATTTAAACAGTTTCATGGTAATTGAATAAAATCATATTCCACCATCCCCAATAGGCAAATTTGAAGAGATCACAGTTCTTCATTGTACCAATTCTGAAACAGAATGACTACTCAAAATTCAGGTTATTGAAGGTAATGTTTAGAAGCTAAGGTCAACATTTTGGGGTCAATCTTTTGCTACTGCCTCATCTGTTTTGTTCCTTGTCCTAATCTATTACATTTAAGTGCCTTCTCAGTTAAATGGCATCATAAAATCCTTTCCTCTCCAGTTTGAAATTGGCTCTTCTTTGGGAAGCTTTTGTGGTAGGACTGTGTATTAAGGGCATGACATAAAAACGTAATGTTGCACGTTTTCAAACAAAAGATTAGATCTCAGGACCTTACTCCCAAATGCCAGATTCTCCTAATCACCAGCATTAAAATACCTACGTTTATGGGGAAGGCTGCCTCAGGAAACATGGCACAGCCAATAGCTCTGGCTGCCCTTGCGACTTCCATGGCCGCTGTTCAGAGCACAGCCACTCGCTCCACTCACACTGCCAGCCTCCCTACAGCCAGAACACTGGGTCTAACCAACAGTTTTAAATTCAGTTAGAAAGAGGAAACTGACAAGTGCCCTGCTGGATTTTGTAAGAGTACAAAACAGGCCATTAGGTGGAAGTGATAACAACAACCCAAAAAAGTCTGACACTGTAATCATGCCTACTCCTACTCCTAAGGAAATTATTTGAAACTGAATTTGGATTGGGAGGTTCAAGAAATTGGGACTTTTCCATCAAATGCAGGGTCTATTATTATTGGTATGCAACTGTTATTTCAAAATGCAACATCGGCAGCCAAATCCAAAAGTGTCTGAATATTAAATATGGTTGTCCCAGAGAAAGATAATTGCCACCTAACTTAATGTGCCTGCCCCTGCTTTCTTTGTTCAACAAGGTTTTCTGAGAAGGAGGCTTAAATGATCACGTCTCACTGTGCAAAACACTGGCTGGATACAAAACAGTACAGAACCTAGCAGCTGGTACTCGGCATTATTTCTACTATCAATTCTCAAAAGCAAACAAAAGTCCAGTTAGCTAAGTGAGTAAAATACCCAATAATTTCCTGTCCAGATTAACCAATTCCACTGACTCATGATAAAAGTCATGCTATCACTTATCCCAGATATGTTTCTGTGACCCCAAACAATACAAGTGACAACATATTCTGTATCATTTGGACTAAAATGTGGTCATGGATATATGGTGACTTTATTGTCTGTAGAGCAGGTCAGTGTTAGGGTGATGGTTCAACTGCATGAAAGTCGAAATGAAATGTTACTGCTTCAAGAATAAGGGGTTCTTTTAATAAAACACAGGACAGTCAAATCTTAACATGCAGAAGGAGCTTCCCAAACAGTAACAAACAATTCCCAGGGAGATTTATTAAGCAGCAAGTAACTATTTTACTTGTCAGCCTGAGACATCCGTAAATATACTCTAGGACAGAAAAAGAACATCTAGTATCTCAGGTTTAGAGTGCTAACACCCTAGGAAGAATCCAGAAAGAGTTATGAAATAGGCATGAAGCTATACACTTCTCTCTTCTCAAGAATTCCCAACCTTTCATTGATTATTAGACCCTGTATTAAGGAATTATTTGATGACTGCTATTCCCCAAAGAATTTACTCAAAAAGAAAAGAAAAAGGACTAGCCCTTAATTTTTTAAACTTATTTGAGACACAGATTGAACTGGTTCACTCCCTGAAGCCTCTCAACAGCCAGAACTGGGCTCTATTGAAATCAGGAGTGGGAACTCAACCTAGGTCACCCACATGGCTGGCAGAAACCCAGTTACTTCAGCCATCACTGCTGCCTCCCCCAGCCTGCATTAGCAGGAAGCTGGCGCTTGGTGTCAGACCCAGCTACTCTGATACAGTCTTAGTGACTTAACGACTGGGATAAATGTTCATTTATTTTATTTTAAAGGGTGTGAGTATGTGTGTGTGTGTGTGTGTGTGTGTATGAGAGAAAGAGAGAGAGAGAGAGAGAGATCTTTGACCTGCTGGTTCACCTTCCAAATGCCTGCAACAGCTTGGGGTGTGCCAGGCCAAAGCCAGGAGCCAAGAACTCAACCCAAGTCAACCCAACTACTTGAGCCATCACCTGCTGTTTATCTGGAGCATATTAAGCAGAAAGCTGGAGTCAGGAGTAGAGCCAGGACTTGAACTCAGGCACTCCTACTATGTGAGTGCCCCAAGAGGCATCTTAACAGCTATACCAAATGCCCACCCCAAACATTAATTTTTTTAAGGTACAAATTAGAGAGTAGATAATGGCTCAAGGACTTGAGTCCTTGCAACCCACATGAAAGACCCAGGATAAATTCCAGACTCCTGGCTTAGGCCTGGTCCAGCCCTGGCTATTGCAGGCATTTGGGGATTAAACCGGGGGATTTCAGTTCTCTGTCTCTGTGTCTGTGCCTCCCTTTCTGTATTCCTGCCTTTCAAATAAATAAAATCTGTTTTAAAACGTCAGGTAGAGGGGCAGGTGTTGTGCACAGCAGGTTAAGCCACTGTTTGCAACACGTGCATCTCATATCAGTTTAAGTCCCAAATGTTCCACTTTCAATCCAGCTCTCCAAATAATGTGTCTCAAAAAGCAGAAGATGCCTGCTGCTTTGCCACCCCTGTGGAAGACCCAGGTGGAATTCCAAGCTCCTGGCTTCAGCCTGGCCCAGCCCCAGCCACTGACACCATTTGTTGAATGAACCAGCAGATGGAAGATATCTTTATCTCTCCGTCTCTTTCTCTCTCATTCTACTTTTCAAAAAAAAAAAATAATCAGAGAAAAATCCCGAAAAGCTTCATGTGAGAAAAAAGTCCTGATGCAATTAGCAGTAGATAGAATGGAGAAATTGGAAAACTCAGGGCCAGCGCTGCGGCACAGCCGGTGAAAGCTGCCGCCTGCAGTGCCGGCATCCCATATGGGTGCCAGTTTGAGTCCCGGCTGCTCCACTTCTGATCCAGCTCTCTGCTATGGCCTGGGAAAGCAATAGAAGATGGTCCAACGTGCTTGGGCCACTTGACCCACATGGGAGACCTGGAAGAAACTCCAGGCTCCTAGCTTCGGATCAGCCCAGCTCTGGCCGTTACGGCCATTAGGGGAGTAAATCAGCGGATGGAAGACCTCTCTTTCTCTCTCTGCCTCTCTGTAACTCTGCCTTTCAAATAAATAAATAAATAATCTTTTAAAAAGAATATATAAAAAAAAATCTAAAAAAAAAACCTCAAATAATCAAGTTACTATGAGAAAGGATCTGACAACTATGAAATTGATTCAGTTAACATTTCTTGTGTGTATATTTTATTTTAAGCAAATTAGCTGTATCAAGTAAAGTTTGAATTTGCAGATGCAAGTCTGCTCCCCATCCTTTGAAATGACTGAAAATAGAAAATGTTGCTCTCATTCATTTGGAAGTGTACTGACAAAAGATATCAATGCACAATTTCAGGAAACAAACGTGAGACATATTCTGCATCCCTGAATTATTGTTCCAAACTGATACCACACACAGCTGGTGTTATGAAGACTCCAACTTCCTCAACAAGGGAAACCGGAAAAGGTCAATCTAACATGAAAAACAAACATACAATAATCAGGTGTACAGCTGATGATTCCCCAGCAAGTGAAGACCCAAGGACTCCAAGGACTGACTATTTTATATCGTTAAAAAACAACAGGGCTGGGGCAGGGGCTCAGTGAGTTAAAGCCCCGGCCTGCAATGCCAGCATCCCATGTGGGTGCCAGTTGGAGTCCCAGTGCTCCATTTCTGACTCAGCTTCATCATGACAGCCTGGGAAAGCAGTAGAGGATGGCCCAAGTCCTTGGGCCCCTGCACCCGCATGCGAGACCCAGAGGAGGATCCTGACTCCTGGCTTCAGATGGGCTCAGCTCCGGCCATTGTGTCCACTTGGGGAGTGAACCAGTGGATGGAAGACAGCTCTCTCTCTCTTTCTCTCTTTGTTATCTACCTCTCTCTGTAACTCTGTCTTTCAAATATATAAAATAAATCTTAAAAAACAAACACAATGACAAACTCAAATGTAAATTCCGCATGCCTCTGCTTAGTGAGAGCCTGAAGTAAAATGAGGCATGTATAGCATGGCTGCAAAGGTTTTCATGATATGCACAAATAGTGGCAAGGCAATTCTGCTCACTGTGCTCTCTTATTTGGCAAATAAATCTCTGATGCATCTCTCAAAAGAAATTAACCAAAAAAGTACATATACCAGGAGTTTTAGTTCTATCCTTACATATTACTAACTATTCCGATTAAAATTTCAGAATAGGGGCCGGTGCTGTGGTGTAGCGGGTAAGGCCATCACTTGCAATGCCAGCATCCCATATGGGCGCCAGTTCGAGTCCTGGATGCTCCACTTCCAGTCCAGCTGTCTGCTATGGTCTGGGAAAGAAGTCAAGGATGGCCCAAGTCCTTGGGTCCCTGCACCCACGTGGGAGACCCAGAAGAAGCTCCTGGATCCTGGCTTTGGATCCGTGCAGCTCCGGCTGCTGCAGCCATCTGGGGAGTGAACCAGCAGATAAAAGATTCTCTCTCTCTCTCTTTCTCTATCTCTCTCTCTCTCTCTGCCTCTCCTTCTCTCTGCATAACTCTTTCAAATAAATAAATCTTTAAAAAAAATTCAGAATAATTGATCAGTACTGTCACAGGAGAAAATGCCACTTAATCCATCTGAATTGGAATTAAACCAAGCAAAAAAATATGCTACAACATCCATATTCAGGTATTGTAGATTTTTTAAAAATAATTATAAGCATGTATTACTTAAGAAAATCTAACAAACATATAAACCAGATAAGGTAGTAAGTGGTTATTTGTATTTAGGAAGAGTCTCCTTAACTATTGCAAAGGTCCCAAGCCCACTCACATAGCAGACATCTTCCTGAATAACGAGAAGGACATTGACACTATTGTGTTCAGTAAGACCACCACTCTAAGAAGAGATTAAGTTTAATTAATCATTAGGTGAGGTAAACAGAACACCCAGAAGTACTGATGTTTGGCCTTCAAAATAACTCAGTACCACTTCCCAATACTTCACAGACAGCAGACCACTACAAGAACAAACTACTTTTAATAATTAGTTTGGGGGCCGGCACCGTGGTGCAGTAGGTTAATCCTCCACCTGCGGCGCTGGCATCCCATATGGGCACTGGTTCTAGTTCCACTACCCTGCTTCCAATCCAGCTCTCTGCTGTGGCCAGGGAAAGCAGTAGAAGACGGTCCAAGTCCTTGGGCCCCTGAACCCATGTGGGAGACCCGGAAGAAGCTTCTGACTCCTGGCTTCGGATTGGCGCAGCTCTGGCCATTGCATTTATTTGGGGAGTGAACCAACAGAAGGAAGACCTTTCTCTCTGTCTTTCCCTCTCACTGTATGTAACTCTACCTCTCAAATAAATAAAAAAAAATAAAAATAATTAGTTTGGTAGGGGCTAGGGCTGTGGCACAACATGTTAAAGCCCTGGCCTGAAGTCCCGGCATCATTTCTAGTCCCAACTGCTCCTCTTCGGATTCAATTCTCTGCTATGGCCTGGAAGAGCAGTAGAAGATGGCCCAAGCCCTTGGGCCCCTGCACCCACGTGGGACACCCCAAACAAGCTCCTGGTCCTGACTTCGGATGATGGGCTCTGCTCTGGCCTTTGTGGCTAACTGGGAAGTGACCCAGCAGATGAAAGACCTCTCTCTCTGTCTCTACCTCTCTCTTTAACTCTTTCAAATAAATAAAATAAATCTTAAAAAAAATAATTAGCTTGGTAGGCCCTAAGATATGTAAATTCCAGCCCTATGGAAAAATGATGCAATCAGAAACATAAATCAATAACATAAAAATGTTAAAAACTGGTAAATTTTAAAACTAAAGAAAACTATTCATAGAAATGAAAAAACAGTAACATAAATGACTAATAATAATACCTGATTAAATATAGGCAACACATAAAAATAAAAATGGCAATACAAATTGAAACTGAATTAGTTAATATATATTTTAAGACAATTAAAACTCACAACAGCCCCATGACACAGTGCTATCTGTATCCTCATTTTTTTACAAAAGAAAAAACTGAGAAATTAATCTACCTTAAGGTCATGCAGCTAGTAGAAGAAAAATTCCAACCCAGAAAGTCTGACTCTAGAGTAAAAAAATCTACTGGATAGAGCGTGGATTCTGGAAAGAATAACAGGTCATTAAAAATGATGGATGCTTTGTGATAGAGGACAGTGATGGAAGAGGGGTGGGGAGGGCATATAAAGTGGCATAGATGTTGGAGAAGGAGCTGAAAAATCATGGTTCTGTGTGTAAAAGAGGTGTTTCTAATGAGGATCATGGGACAAAGTTTAATAAAAAAAAAAAAAAAAAAAACAGGTTGAGAGTTGCACTAGTGAACTAGGAAGGTTCATACATAACTGGCACCTGAGATGAGCATCAAAGAGTGACAAAGTGGCTAAGAGCCGAATCTCTGGAAATAGGCCCAGATACAAATAGAAGGCCTTGCATGAGAAAAACACTCAGGAAAAAAGCAAATAAGCTTTGTTTGGCCTCAGTGTATATCCAGTAGTAGTGGGAGTTAAGCTGGGAGAGGAAAGTTAGGACCATATGGCAGCTTTGAACACCCAAGAGGAGTTTATATTTAGTTCAGAAAGCAAGGAAGAGTCACCGAGAGTGTTCTGAACAGGTGCTGGACGTGGAGGAACACGAGCAGCAAGCTAGATGACACCAAAGAATACAAACTGTGTAATTCCACCTATTACATGAAGTCAAAGGCAGAACTAATGTTAAATTATAAAAATCAGAAAATGGTTACCTGGTGGGGAAGGACACTGACTAGTAGGGGCACACAGGAACTTTCTGAAGTAATAGAAATGTCCTATATATCACTTTGTTAATACTGCCAGGAATGTGTACAACTGTCATAGCCCATAAAATCATAATGTTAGTTATATAGGAACAGAAGGAAAAAGAGAAAGGGAGGGATTAGGGGAGAGGGGAAGGAGAGAAAGAAAAAGAAAATCCACCTGTAGAATGGGGGGCGGAGGGAGAAAGGAAGGATGCGAGGGAGGGAGGAAGGGAGGGAGAAAGAAGAAAGGGATAGAGAGAAAAAAGGAAATAAAATGGAAAGAAGTAGGAAGGGAGAGCAGAGAGAGCGAGAGTGATAGAGAGACAGAGAACTCACCTTAGAATGGACCCACATATGGAGGAAGAGAAGCAAGGGAGACAAGTTAAAGTGACTATTATGGAAACTCAGAATACCGACTAAGGAGAGAAGACTATGGCTATAAAGAGAAATTAGAGGACTGTCGCTCCCCGTCTTCGTGGAGGAACGACACTAAGCCCTGCGCTGTTCTTTCGTCTGCTCGGCCCTCCCCGGGTTTGCTGCTGTTTCTTCCCGGGTTGGCTACTATCCCTTCCACCTCCGTGGAAGGGCAGTTCCCCCTGGCCGCATTCCCCACTTCCGCAGGGGAGCGGCACACCGCCGGCTTGCTCTTCTCGGGGGCTGCACGGGTTCCCTTAGATGTTCCCCATAGATGTTCCTGGTGCATGCCGTCTCTCTCCTCCTTTATAGTCCTCTTCCGCCAATCCCAACTCAGCTGCCCACACGCCGAGTACGCTGCTCTCCAATCAGGAGCAAGTCCTACAGTTTATTGGTTGAACTGGAGGCAGCTGTGTAAAAGCTGTTTACTTCTCTCCCAGCGCCATATTGTGGGAGAGCAGATGCATAGAATAAGTCTTAATTCCAGTAACTTAGTCCAGTCCGGTTTGCTCCCCACAGAGGACTGATCATATTCTAAATGTGTAAGAATACAAACATTATTCAGCTCAATATTAATGTGCATGAATTAGAATTTCACTCATTGTGTCTCCTTAAAGTGTTAGCTGCCAGATGGCAGGAACCAAACAAGGTTTTTCCATTTAAATCAATTTTTCTTATTCTTTTCTACTTGTTTATATTTGAGGCTGCCATTTCTATCTCTATACTCTATTTTATGCCAAATTTTCAAACACAATCAATGTGTTGATAATTCTGTGAAATGGGTTCCTGGTATGGAACACTAAGAGAAATTAAACAACTGACTGCTTCGCTTGTGCCATTAGAGTTTGCCAGTCTGCAAAGCTATTTCACTGAAGTATTACAACAATCCCATAAGGTTAATTAGTACCCCATTTTGTAGATCTAAAGCTAGGAGATACGATGCCTGAGGCAACTAGTGAAACCAGGCCCCATTTTCTGCTTGACGCAGAGTCCAGGTTCTTAAGCATTGTGCTATGCACACACACTAAAAATAACTGACAAAGTAAGACTGCCTGGGACTAATGCAGAAAAAGGGTAAGAAAGAAAGCACAGATTAACTCATAATCCATTAAGCATATTCATCCTGCAGCTTTCAAAATCTACATTAGTGGCAGGCACTTGGCCTAGTGATTAAAATACCGGTTAAAGCTGTATCCCACTTCAGTGTGCCTGGGTTCAATTCCCAGACAGGGTTACCAATTCCAGCTTCCTGCTAATGCAGACTGAACAGGCAGTGGTGATGGTTCAAGCAGCTGGGGTGCTGCCACCCATGTAGGATATGTAAACTGGGCTCCCAGCTCTGCTTAGTCCAGCCCTGACTGTTTCAGGCATTTGGGGAGGTAACCAGCAGACAGGACAAAGTTCTCTCTTGCTCTCTCTCTCTCTCTCTCTCTCTCTCTCCCCCTCTCACCTCCCACCCTCTCTATCTACCACTCAAATTAAATTTTTAAAGAAATTCTACATTAGTTAACTAAAGGTTATTGCAAGACATTGTTTTATAAGTAAAACAAGTGTAGATTATTTTCATGTCAGTTGCTGTAGGCATTAGACAATAGGTATATAGATTCATATTTAAAATGTATCTACGTAATACACTGTTTCAGGTCAATTCAATCTCTATCAAATCAGGATCAAGCTTCAGGTCTTTGAAAATTACTGTAATGTCAAATAATGAGAAAATATTTTTTAAAATATAAATTCAAGTTCATCTGAATTTTTTAAGTAATTTATTTATTTATTTGAAAGAGTTACAGAGAAGAAAAGAGAGAGAGAGAAATCTTCCATCTGCTGTGTCACTCCCCAAACAACCACAACAGCTAGAGCTGGGTCAGTCCGAAGCCAGGAACCTGGAGTTCCATTTGGGTCTCCCACATGGGTGACAGGGGGACCAAGGAATTAAGCCATCTTCTGCTAGTTTCCCAGGTACACTAGGAGAGAGCTGGATTAGAAGTGGATTAGCTGTGGTGGAGTGGGTAAAGCCATCGGCTGCAATCCCATATGGACGCTGGTTCAAGTCCCAGCTGTTCCACTTCTGATTCAGCTCTCTGCTATGGCCTGAGAAAGCAGTAGAAGATGGCCTAAATCCCTGCACCCTTGTGGGAGATCCTCAGATTGACCCAACATCAGCCGTTGCAGCCATTTGGGGGGTGAATCAGCAGATGGAAGACCTCTCTCTCTCTCTCTGCCTCTGCCTCTGCATCTCTGTAACTCTGCCTTTCAAATAAACCTTAAAAAAAAAAAAAAAAAAAAAAAAAGGAGTAGCTAGGGCTCAAACTGGCAACCATATGGGATACCTGCATTGCAGATGACAGCTTAATCCACCAGCAGCTTAATCCACTGCACCACAAAGCAAGTCCCCAACTGAATTTTTTTAAGTTGATTTTATTTAAGGTATAAAGTTCACATATCTCGCATATATAGATTTAGGAACATAGTGCTACTTTCTACCCTGCCATCCGCTTACCCATGTTCCTACCCTTCTTCCTCCTCCCTCTCCTATTCCCACTCTTAATTTCTACTAAGATCGATTTTGTTTGCTTTATACTTAAAAGATTAACCCTACACTAAGTAAAGAGTTCAAAAGTGGTAAAAAAAATTTTTTTTTTTCAGTACCTCTTTTGAAACACAATGGATGCAATTGGAAAGCATTACACTTGGTGAAATAAGCCAGTCCCAGCCGGAGCCATGGCTCACTTGGATAATCCTCCTTCTGTGGTGCTGGCATCCCATATGGGTGCCGGGTTCTAGTCCTGGTTGCTCCTCTTCCAGTCCAGCTCTCTGCTGTGGCCCTGGAGGGCAGTGGAGGATGGCCCAAGTGCTTGGGCCCCTGCAGCTGCATGGGAAACCAGGAAGAAGCTCCTGGCTTCGGATTAGCACAGCACCGGCCATCTCAGCCATTTGGAGAGTGAACCAACAGAAGGAAGACCTTTCTCTCTGTCTCACTGTCTATAACTCTACCTGTCAAATAAATAAAGAAAAAGAAAGAAAGAAGCCAGTCCCAAAAAGACAAATACCATATGTTCTTCCTGCTCCATGGTAACTAACAGAGTACCAACTGAATTTTTAAAAGTGACAAAAAGTCAGGCTGAATCTATTTTGAAAGACAGGTTTGGTTTCAAATCTCTTGAAACCACAAAGATCCACAAACATATCAGACTCAAAAAAGTAGTAACTCAACAGGACAACAGAACCAGTTTAATAAGGAGAATCCTGTTCTAATTAAAGAAATGTGAATATTTAGGCACTGATGGGAAGTATATATTATAAAGTAGTATTTGAAGGTACAATAAACAAGGGAAAGATATGTATTCCATATTTTTGGGAGAACAAATGTTTTAAGGGCCATTAAGGTAGCATTTATATGAATTTAATTTTAAGTGTTCTAGGCACAAAACATTCCTATGTATTTGTTAGAATATATCACCCTGGCTTTGCTCTTCTTTCATTACTGGTTTCACCATTATTGTGAGAAATTAAAGACATTAATGAAAGCAAAATATGCCATGTTCATGAACTGGAATAAGCAATATTGTCAAAGTGGCAACTCTCTCAAATTGTTCCACAGATTAAATAAATGCTCAATTAA